TATATATATATATATATATTAGGGAGCTCGTACTAGGGGGTCCACTGTATGCGTATGTGACTCGCTGCTGCCTGTAAAACTTACTGTTTTATTGCTAAAGTATAGCTGGATTTTTACTAAAACCCTGTTGCCGCTTTAGTAGTAAAATGTGTGGGAACAAACCTTCCAGTTATACCAACAACTCTTTATAAAAATGAGGCCTCATCCTTGTTGATTTATATTTTATGATAAGTATAATAATCTCAGGGAGTAATTGAAAATAATAACCAACCTACACTAAGATGTAATGGGCCACATAAAATGATGTAGTGTGCCACATTCAGCCCATGGGCCTTGAGTTTGACATTTGTGAGATAGGGGGTTGGCGACATAAAGATATCTTACTTTCATTCATTTGTTTGAATAGGACATCGAAACAACCAGTTTCGACCATAGCGGTGCCAACATGTTTATGACATTTAGCAAGTAGTAACCTCCTTTACCATAGATTTACATGAAACACTTTCAAAACTAGCTAAGTATGTGTGACTTTGAAGGGCTTCACTGAACCAATGCCCTTACTGAATCAATGTCCCAAGGTGCTATCAATTAGCTTAGCTGTAAGGCAAGTTGTTGCCCTCGATCCTCAAAAATTTAAACCCCAACCACTGTTGGATGCTTCACAATTAATCTGTCTGTGTCTTAGGTTCTCTCCTGGATCCACAGGGAGAACCAGGCAGTGATTGTCCGCTGCAGCCAGCCTCTAGTTGGCATGTCGGGTAAAAGGAACAAGGACGACGAGCGCTACCTGGACCTGATCAGGGAGGCAAACGACACCACAAAGCTTACTATATTTGATGCCAGGCCAAGTGTCAATGCAGTGGCTAACAAGGTGAGGAGGAAAACAAGTTCAGTTCCACGGTCAGCCGCAGTGTTCGAGGACATGCGGCTGAAACTTTGATGGATTGTACGTTATAATGTGACCTGGTACCTTCCATCTTAGATTGAGCCGTATAAATATGTATGCATGTATTTTTGATTGTTTGTATATGTAATGTATGTGTTTGTGTGTATATGTATATATGTGTATATGTACAGTATATGTATGTATATATGTGTATATATGTATGTATATATGTATATATATGTATGTATATATGTATATATATGTATGTATATATGTATATATATGTATGTAT